GCGATGCCAGGAGCCCCTAGTAGCGTCTTTGCTCCTAGTAGCGATGCTAGGAGCCTCTAGTAGCGTCCTTGCTCCTAGTAGCGCTTAGTAGCGTCCTTGCTCCTAGTAGCGATGCCAGGAGCCCCCAGTAGCGTCTTTGCTCCTAGTAGCGATGCCAGGAGCCCCTAGTAGCGTCTTTGCTCCTAGTAGCGATGCCAGGAGCCTCTAGTAGCGTCCTTGCTCCTAGTACTGCTTTGCCTGGACTTTTGTGTTTGGGTGCTACCAGGTCCCAGAAGATATTGACGTAGAAAGACTCGCTCCTGGCTGTGTGCAGCTCTCCACACGTTCTCAGGCTAAGCACCAAATCACTAAAGAATTACACTTCTCCAGGCACGAGTGAGTTCGGAAGATCGGTCAATTTGACCCTCTAGATTCCTCAGATCATGTTGGAGGACAATCACGTGCACCACCCGAGGTGGGACGCCCTGCAAACAGCTGGGTATCTTCCATTGAATGCTTCCTTCAGTAGAGCAACGCTTAGGGCTAGCTTTTTGGTTGATGCACTTGGGGGCCACTATGATCTAAAGCTACCAAAAGACAAACACCAAAACAAAACAACGGGACCAACGCCAAACGATTTTCGCCGGTTCTCGTCCACCTCTTCTGGACCGTCCCGAGGTGATGAGGCTGAACGGTTGATGATCCAGGAGAACGAGGATGGGAAGACAGCAGCGCAGCAACTCGAAGAACCGGCTTCGTCTGGAGGTTGAGAAAGGAAAGGAACCACCTGCTAACCAGCGATGCCCTTTGCTCGGTTCGTAGCGTCCTTCCTTCCAGAAGGTTTGAACCCCAAGCTTTGTGGGAAAACTATGGGCGATGATGGATCGCAGAGTCACATGAACAGTCCGAGATACCTATTTAAACAACAAAGACGGATTTGTTTCAAGAACATGTATATCAAACACATGACATCATTATCTTACAAAATGAAGCATCCTGGTCCCCTTCCTCCTCTCATCCCCTGGTCCCTTCGTCCTTTAGTTCACTCTGATCCCCTCCCTGTCCGCTGGTCTTCTTTTTCGTTGGTACGCATCCCTTGGTCTCACCGTGGTTCCATTGGGCTCGGGGGGAAGGCACTGTGCCCTCCCCGCACGACGAAATCAGCACGCAAGAGGGTTTCTTTCTTGGCCACGAAACAATTTCAAGAGGAGCACTTGTTACTTGTTGCAAGTTGACGTAGGCACCTGGCTGCTGTATTCCAACCTTGGCCGCTTGGTAGGCGACAACAACTAACACTTAGATCAGTAAGTACCACCATTTGTGGGCCATTCGCGGGTGCAATTTAGACGGAGAATCTTTTTCTAGGAAGTCTCGCTGCTGTTTCAAAGGGCGGCTTCTTGCCTTCTGGCAGTTTTTTGGTGGCTTGGGTTTTGGCTTATGCTGGCCTTTCGGCTTGTTGTGGCTTTTGGCTAGATGGCTTTAGGTGGATATTTTTTACTTAAGATAGCACTACAGAAAGCTTCTAGAGAGACCAAGTGATCAGTCATTGAATGCCCCAAAACCTTGCAATACTAAAAACGCTCGCACACAAATGAGCCCGAGCGTGCTTCAAGTATTAGCAGGTCAAATGCTCACATGCCTAAAACATCCTAAAACGATGCCAATAGTAACAGGCACAAGCTAGGGCTTCGAGGGCCCTGTTGCGGCTCGGCAGATTTTGGCTGATCATCCACGCCTTATTACTTACTGAAAGGCAGAGCACATGCTTTATGTTGTTTTCGGGTACATCATGCACGTCGTCCAGCAACACACGTTTCTTATTGAAGACCAAGAAACATCTAAGAAACTATTGATCCAAACACAATTTTGATAGTCCGGCCCCGAGGATGGACGAAATACTTCGGTTTGGTTTGGTTTGTGCGAAACTCGATCGACGACCGGAGAGGGGTGGTCAACTCGATCGACGACGAAAAAGCGTTGGATCCGTGACTGGTAGACGATGCTTCGATGCTGTGTTTAGTACCCTGAAACGATTTAGGACAAAGCTTCCCGGTTGGGTGCGCTATGTTGAGACAAAAAACGACATGTCCCCCCCTTGATTTGGTTTCCCAGTGAATTTGATCAAACAAACCCAGGTTGTTCACCACTTGGAACCAAGGATGCTCCTGGACCTGCAGCCGATTGAGCTGAGGGATAAAATCAAGTCGATTTGGAAAGAGAAGAGGGGCGGCTGAACTGAAGCTCTTCCAAAATAGCATCCCTCCGCTCTGATCTCGCTCCTTATCGTGTTGGCGGTGAGGACGCGCAGAGACACATCCTGTTGCTGACGTAGAGGAGATCCCACCGTTTTGGGCTGATGCAAAATCGTGTGATTTCTGCTCAACAAGGTGGGAGTGATATTTTTGCTTGGGAAGAAGGGTGGAGGCCCCTTGTGCCTTTTTTGCGAACCATATTCATTCTCTATCAACCTTCATGAGATGGAGTGGATTTGGCAATCCCCCACCCTTCGTGGGAACATTTTGTGAATTGAGGGAACAGAACCACCGATGCCGGGCGTTGCTGCGAACGATCGAGGGCGGCGAGCACAGCCGACCGCCGAATCGGACGTGGTGTGGCGAGTGAAAAAGATGCGCCCCGACGTCGCGTGTGGGCCCTGGAGGAAGAGTTAGAAACAAGAAGCTAGTAGAAACAAGTGCCTCGCTACTAGTAACAAGTGCCTTACTAGTAGTAACAAGAAGCTATTAGAAACTGCTTCTGATGGTTTCTAATAGCTTCTTGTTACTAGTAAGGCACTTGTTACTAGGTGGATCGTGCCATCTCTGCAGAGATCGCACCGTCGGACGATGGACATCCGGAGCTCGGGGTGTCGGATGGGCATCAAGTCGGACCCCGTCGCCAGGCATAATAGGCACAACATAAAGGTGGGTTTTTGGAGCTCCTCCCCCAACAACATGTTTCTTTTGTTTTTTCAGCTTTACACAGATGGTTTTGGTTCTTGATGTTCTCCCAGATGTGACCTTTTCCACTCTTCAAGACCCCCAAAAAATGGACCAAGGGCTGAGGGTTTGGATTCTCCAAGGCCCGAGGCCTTCGACGTCCGCTCCGGTCCAGGCCTGGCGATGGCCCGGAGGCCCGGAGCGTCGGCCCGGTGCAAGACGTGTCAGGCTCCAAGACGTGTCAGGCTTTGCTCAACATCAACGCCCTACTATATAATCATAAATTACAGTTTCAGACCTTGACCTTGGAGTGTGCTTACAACATTGATGCTGTGGACAAAATCACAGCTTAGATCTTTTGTTAGGACTGGTACTACTTACCAGAAGTGAATGAGGAAACGGACCACGAATTCCGTTGACGCATAGTGTGGACACCGAGATGCGCTTCTCCCGCATTTCCTGCTGGACATCGTTGGACACCTCAATGCTCAGTGTGTCGACAAGCCAGACGACCACACAAACCAAGAGTGCTTTCACTCGGGTAGCAATGTGATTCTTAACAACTTCCACCAGTTGATCTTTGAAGAACACCCAAACATGCTTTCAAAAGACAAGCAACATGACACCCGCCCTCACAAAATACCACACTCACCCCAACTTCCACCAGTTGTGGACTGTTTCTAAACAGCCACATGTGTGCTCTGCATCGCCGAGGCCGGGCGCTTCTATCACTCCACCGAGGCCCTTCCAAGGCTCTCTCGGTCCGGCCAGGTCTGGTCGATCGGGTGCAAAGGCCATCGCTACGAACGGAGCGATAGGACGCTCCCGAACGGAGCGATCGGGCACTCTTCCAACATCTTCCAACCACTACTAGTAACAAGTGCATCGCTAGTAGTAACAGGTGCCTTACTAGTAGTAACAAGAAGCTATTAATTTCAGCAGCTCCAAAAGATCCACCCGAAACCCCGAAGAGTGGGGGCAGTTCTCGGTCGGATGGAGAGGACCCACCGACAGGTCCGGTTGCGAGAAGCACCCGCAGACGTGTTCAATCAAATCCAGGAAATAACAGACGTGCTTGTGTAATGAGCTTGTGTCATGTGTTTGAATCCTGATATGAAATAGGCATATCGGCATATCAGCATGCAATGCATCGCAAACTTCTCGCTAACGGACACAAATGCAATGAAAACGGCTGGGTTCCTAGAAGGAATATAACCAATGCCTTTCAGACTAGTCCAAATAGACAAATAAAACCATCATACAATTTCAGAATCTTTTCCTGCACTAGTCTCAGCACAGCAGGATGAACATAGTGTCCAAATCATTGGCCTTTTTCGGCCAAAAAAGTATACGTTTTTTTTACTAGTCAATTAGTCAATCATTTGCATTTTGAAAGACTAAGTCCCAATACATAACTTGTTTGGCTTCTTGGCTTTCTGAAGCTATCATGCCAATGGTAAAAGATGTAGTGTTGATTAGCAAGCTGCGTGTTTACAAACAGGGGCTCTTGTTGTCCATTGAAGCTAGGCCTAAGAGTAGCAGCAAAAGGCTGTTTTGCACCCTTCAAGGCAGCTCAGAAGTAGCACAGAACGTCTGCGTGACAATTATTAAATATATAGACAAAGTTCTTCCCAGAGCTTTGTGAAAGCACATGGAAATGAAGCAAACAAACACCTAAGTTCAATGGCTTAAACGCCTGCCACCGGGCGGGCCGCTCGGGCGGCATTGCCCACAGCGACGGGAGGCCGGGGTTGATGAAGCGCAGTAGCCTGGACCTGTCTCCGCTGTACAAGGCGGTCGCGGTCGCGGTCGGAGCGACCGGAGAAAGGACGGGAAACGACGGATGCAACGCAGAAAGGCCGAAGACCTGGATCTTTTTTGTATTCCCTGGTGCTGCGATGGCCAGACTCTTCAGGTCTCTCAGCGAGGTGAACACATGTCTCCCAGGAGGCTGTTCTTTCGTTTTCTGGAGACATGGGGTCATTAGCTTGTCGACATCACCAGGTGGCGTTCAGGTCCTGTAGTCGGGTGATCCACTGCACTTTGACCAATGGTTATTCACTCCATGCTTTAAACATGCAAGCCAATGCAAGGCATCATTTCGTAGAAATCTGTGTATTGAGGTGTGCACAAGCTACATATTTGTATAAATGCGTTAGCCAACAACAATAATTAACCTCCCGATGAAACTTCCCTTGTCTCCGGCTCGTCTCCTGCAGGCCTTCCTTCACTTGGTGGCTCCGCCCTGTATCTTCCTTTGCGTGCGGCGCCCGGGCGAGCGACAGTGGCCACAGCAGCGACAGCGACGTTTGGTTGACCATGCAAGGTGCGGATGAAACTAGTAGCTAGTTGGCTACCACTAGCAAGGTGCATCGCAACTAGTAGCTAGAAGCTACTAGTAGCGATGCCCCTGCTACTAGTAGCTTCATTGAGGAGCGTTTGGCCAAGCAGGATAAAGCAGAACCATGCAGCTGGCACTACGCAGCTCAAGGTCCAACCCTGTTTTGTGGTGCCCGGCCGAGGAAGGCAAGACATTCCCAAACTGAGTTTTGCCACTTGACAGTCGCATTCCCAAACTTGAGGCTCGGGGAAGCCTCGCAAACCCATCCTGGCAATCACACTTTTGTCAGATTGGTTTCACACCAACTTTCTGAAGGTGTGCACCGGACAGCTTGCGAGGGCGAAGTACATGCGAAAGCTTCGTCGGCGCAGAAAAGTCGTTGGAGGAAAGAATCAGTCCCCTTGCTCCGTTCGTAGCGATGCCCTTTGCTCCGTTCGTAGCGTCCTTGCTCCTAGTAGTAAGGCCAGGAGCCCCTAGTAGCTTCTTGTTACTACTAGTAAGGCACTTGTTACTAGTAGCGATGCCCTTTGCTCCTATTAGATTCTTGTTCCTAGTAGTAATGCCAGGAGCCCCTTGTTGTGCTTTTTTGTTCCTGAGGTTGGGGGTCTTATGCAACTCGGAAACAACTTTCTGATTGTCTCTGCTGCTTTCCTGGCAACATTCATTTAGTTTTGTACCTATCCTATAGATGGAATCTCCTTGTTTGTTGTTCCTTTCGTTGCCTGCTGTTTGGCTTGATCCTTTGTTGCTATGGAAGACCAGAACCCAAACCGACGAAACCAGACCAGTTCTCTTGGCAACCGCTGGGTCAAAACCCGCCCAAAGCGGTTCGGGCCGACGTCCTTCAAACGAACTCAACCCCTTCACCGACGTCCCAAAGGTCTCTCCGGTCTCTCCGTGTCGGGAAGCACGGCGTTTCAAGGAACGGGGTTCGGACCGAGGTGACGGCGCTTTTGAGTTTCCACGTCCACTTTCAGCTGGGCCTAGGCGCCACTCTGAGTGAGGAACCAAAGAACTGGATCCAGTCTTGGCCTCCAAAACCCCCTTTTCACTGACAATTGGCCAAAACTGCGAAGTTGGGGTTCGCCATTCAGAAGTGAAGATGTAGAGTTTCACTTATCTCGAAATTCAGCAGAGTCCTTTGTAGACGAAGAGAAAGTCATCGGAGGGGGGGGGGGCGAATTGTTTTTCGGAGGGGAGACACAGAGACACACCGCCTATTCCAAAAAGGTCAGGACCGGTGGACCGGTGGACCGACGACCACCGCCGAAGTGATCGATATTTGCTCGCATCGAGATAGGGTCTGCTGCCGATCGAGATATATTTAGATGGCCTTGCTTGAGTATTGGGAGTGTTTCTGAATGTCTTTGCCTGAAGATAATAAACACTCATCTTGGCAGAAACCGCACTGTCTTGGCAACTGAGCGCACTAGTATAGCTGCACTACCTGATGAGTCTTTGTCATACTCTGGACCCACCAAAAGCCAAGAATAGTAACGATGCCCTTTGCTCCTAGTAGCTTCTTGTTCCTAATAGTACGGCCAGGAGCCCCTAGTAGCGTCCTTGCTCCTAGTTTTATTTTAGTTTGGCGATATGAGCAGACTTGCATAAGCTGTTTTGCAGGACATGGTAGGGCAATTTCTGTACAGCAAGGAAGCATCTTCCGGGAGCCCCTGTACTACTGTGGTTGGAGGTCTGGACGCTGTACACATCTGTACCCTGCACGCTCCAAGTCAGCGTTGTTTTTGAAGAATCTGCCTGAGATCATGGAAGCATTTGCGAAAGAGAAGTACTGAAGACACATGAGATCAGTGGTTTCAGTAGTTTCCTTGATCCACCCACACCCTCAACATCCCTGTCAACATTCCTCAACATCCCTCAACCCAACATTTGATGGATGTTTTGATATTTGTTTTCAGATGACCTCCCTCGACCCTTGAGGCGTTTAACAGGAATTTGGAAGGGGCCTGGGTCTCCAGAGGGTGGAGGTAGGATAGTTTTATATCAATGGTGGATTCTCTTCGTTCACCTCATCAAGCATTCCCGAATCAGTCATCTCAGTCATCTCAACACATCAGAAGGGGTTGGGGCTGCTGACATGCACCATTTGGGTGTGTATTTAAACAGACAGCTGGTCTGATGGTTCTTGGTCTATCATGTTCCTTCTTCCAAAGGGTCTTTTGGAGTCTCACCATCACTATTCTAACACACCCATTTCTTCGGTCAGAAAAAGGGGCACATTTGGATCCATACATAGCCTTTGCCTGGGTGATCCAGCTCTACTCCCTCTCCGGTGTCCCTCTCTCAGCCCCTCGCCCGAGGCACCTGGCTGCTGGCGCTGGTGTCCCTGTGGCCCTATCAGCTGGCACGGAAGAGCGAGGCTCGGGCACTCGAGTTCCGCCTGGACCGGACCTGGCCACGCTTGAGCCTTGGATTGGGCGTGTGGATTGAGGGTGGGCATTTCCGAGACCGGGAGTTCTGGAAAGTTCTGGGAAGGTGTAGAATCATTGGAAGAAGCAGGCAAAGCAGGTCGAAGTATTGGCAAATGAATTGAAGTATTAGCACTTGTTACTAGTCGCGATGAGACCTCTCAGCTCTGTTCCGATCTTTTGGGGCTTTCTACTCACCAACCGATCCGCCCGCTTTGCCCGGAAGCAGGTTGTATGTAGGACAGTGCAGGATTTTGCTGGGATTTCATGTATTTGTTATGTTTTTTTTTCAGACCCAAGAGCACTGAAGTATCCCAAGAGCACTGAAGGGGTGTTCGATTGAAGCCCACCAGCAGTGCTGTGGAGGGTAGTCCGGTAAGGTGATGCTTTTCATGGATGATCCAGATAAAAGAGTCATCATTACAATAGTTTTTTGTTTTGCCTCAGAACACTTGGTTAAATCCGAGTTGGGGTTTTGTCTTTGCCAGCCGTCCATACTGTTCACTACATTGGGGAGACAGCTCACCATCCGAGCCTGGTTCCCGGTTGTTTTCCGAACAGATGTTGTTTCTAGTGGGAAACCCGGCTGTTCGCCGCCAGACGTGGTTTGTGGGTTCAGCAGGTTCGGATTTCCATGTTCCTCACGGCTTCCTTTCGTCCCAAATCCTGGACCCCGCAGCACATCTAAGGAGCCAGCTGCTGCACGGGCGCCCGGTCCGAGGAAGCTCCCTTTTATGGCCGGCCTTTTCGATCTTCTCTGCAGACAACCAGGTCTCTATGACAAGCTGCTAGCTGCGTGGGTAACTATGTCCAGAGGTCAAACAAGAAGCATATACATTGATAATTAGGTTTACGTTACCCGTGGGTGACTGACTTTACTGCACATGCCACTCAAAAATGGGCTTTTGAAACGGTTCTGCCGCGAAGCTCGCAAAGTCAAAACTCATGATTAGCAGATCCACCTTCGAATGTTGCACTTATCATAGGCCGATATCAGCAGATTACTAAATCAGCATTGGCAGAGTGTTTTCGTAAAGGAGCCGCAGTCGTGATGGGTGAAGACGACACTGCGGATTCAGCCTCTCCCGAATGGGTGACGATCAGAGTCCCGGTGCTGCACTGGTCACCGATCCCTTCGGACGTGTGTCGACAGAGCTTGCCTCTTCCGGGTCTGGGATCTCAAGTGAATGACTTGCACCAGAAAGACCCTACTAGTAGCAAGGTGCCTTACTAGTAACAAGCTACTAGTAGTAAGACACTTTGCTACTAGTAACATCTAGCTATATACTAGTAGCGATGCCCTTTGCCTGGATTCTTTCATATTCCTTCCATCAGATCAGGTGGGCACCTTGCGAACCGGATCCTGTTCTGTTCGCGTTCATCTGGACAACGTATTCCAGGTTTTCTTGAGCCGTACCTGGCGCTCGGCTTCGTTCAGTCTTGGACCGCAGCTGTACCTGGAAACCTTCTTCCGTTCCGCGGACCGGCCGCCAGCGCAGCCATCAGCGCCTGGTTTTTGGGGGCTCAGTAGTTCGGGTAGTTCGCGACCGACCTGTGGAGAGGCCCACGGGTTCGTTCGAGGGAGGTTGGAAGCACCTGTTTGGTGTCTATACCCAGTGGTATTGTTTGGTGCCAGGATGTAAAGAGAAGGGGTACCTGTTTCTGGCACCGATGGTCGTCGATCGGTTGCGACTCCTTTGGCACTGGGGCACGAGGGTGAACGAGGGTAGAAGAGGGTAGCAGGTTGGAGAAGGGGTGCTTTGTGTGGGATAAGTTTAAATTCCAGCAACCCATTGTTTCCATGGTCTTTCCCAAAACCACCTTTGTTTTGCTAGGCATAGTGATCATCAAGACTAGGTGCACCAATTCTCTCCTGGGAAGACTAGGGTGACCGTTTTTGTCCGATGAAAAGACTCGTTTCGCGCACAGCTACTGCCTGTAGCTTTGTTTGTGTGTGTGGTTGTTCGAGGTGTTTAAGGTGGCCTGCTCATCCGCCTCTTTTTTTTGAAACCACTTTCTTTTTCATGCAAATAGTCCGCCCAAAAGAGGGTTTGAAATCATCTAATAGTCGATTCACATGGCTCTGCATCCAATTCCACAGACAGTGTTTGGACAATGCTACAAGGTCCCCTGGGGTTTCTTTGCTTAGACTGATCTGGTTTTAAGTCAGCACAGCTCCGCTGAGCAATGCGTTTGCGATGGCAACCGGCGCCAAGGAGTTGTCAGCTAGTAGTAGCGTCCTTGTTCCTAGTACTGGTAGCGATGCCCTTTGTTACAAGAGTAGCGAAAGAGGAGCTCTGCTGCATAGATCCGTGTGAGGTCTGATTTGCGTCCTTAACCTCAAGCCAACTGCAGGTCCGACTGCAGAATGCTCGGCCGTGGAGGTTTCAACCGAAGAGCCCTCCGGCACACCGGAGCGACAGAGCTTCCCCAACCGACCTCGCGTACTCCCGACCCACCGACCTCGCGACCTTCGGGCTGGGACTCGAAGCGCTCCGGCCGCTACGTACGGCGCTCTGTTCGGGTACAGCTCGAAGAGATGGACCTTCCGACCTGGACGATCCGAAGCCGGGTCATGGGAGATGGAGCACGGAGCATGGCGGAGCATGGCGGAGCATGGCGGAGCCGGTGGGAGAGCACCACTCCACCTGCAACCTCAAGAGTTGCTGATGCAGATTCAATCACATTCAATCACTCAAGGCGTTGGGCCGCCGGACTGCCGGACTCTTCATTTCTTTTTGCGCTGATTGCACCGATACCCCACGTTGAAACGAACTTCTGGGGTTCTAGAGCAGTAATCCCCACAGCTAGCGTGCCCTGGCGGATTGATGGTTTTGCGCCACAACGACGTCATTGGTGGGATCATTTCTTTGCAAACTAAGTGGCAGCCCTCGGAAAGTCGGCGCTTTTTGGTGATTTGTGCAGCTCGTGGTGGACCATTTCTCTTGCTTTTCGCAGAGGTCCAAAGCACCGGGTGGTGGAGAAACGCCAGTGGAATATTGCGGTATTGTTAGACAACACACCCTGCTGCAGCGTCCTGGTGGCAGGTCTGCGAAGATGGGCTCACCTGGGGCATCACCGCAGTGCCTCGGCTGAAACACACACACATCGAACCCCTCGAGGGGCGGGCTGAACGGCCCAGGAGCACCGGCACCATGCGGAAGAGTTACAGCAGTGGAACGCTGCAGAAGACCGGTCAGGCGCAGCAGCGAACGGTGAAACAGTTTGGTCAGTTTGTTGGCGTCCACTTCCTTTGGGACCCTGCCGACTGCCGACCCTGAAAAAAGGGGGACCAGGATGGACCAGGGCTTTGGTTTTTCAAAACAACACTTTGACTGCCTTTCGTGGGATGTGCACTCCAATTCATGTTCACCGTGTGGGGGGTTAGTCACTATTAGTCCATTTGCATGGAACGTGCGTTCGGGGGTTTTGTCCGTAGAAGAGGTGGAAAAGTCACTACAGTGTCGGCAGGTTCTTTATATACAGTCAACCTTTTATTGCGATGTTATTCTGCGGGGATTGTTCGCTCCCGAGTTTGATGGGGTTGGGCAACATTTTTGAGAAAGAAACTTGTCCTATTGGTGAAGGAATTGATCCTGCATCAGACCATTGTTTTAGAGTTTGAGATGTGCAGGATTTCTTCCTCCTTGTCCTGAAGACCAGGCATAAGAACCAGTGTTGCCATTCCCGGAAAACCACATGGACCCCGTAGATAGCCTGCATAAGGACCATGTTCCTCTATCTCACACCATGTCCTCCGGCTGGTCAAAAGTGGCGGACTCCGTGGAACAATTGGATTTCCACACCAGGAACATCTTGGAGTGTTTGATGGGATTGTAGGTCTCTCATCACGATCGTAGGTCTCTCATCACGATCTTTTTCCAACGAATGGGCCTTGACAGTCTCTGGTGTACGACGCTTGACACGAGCGGTTCATGCTGTGCTGGGCTTGTAGGGTTGGAAGCAACCTTGAGGACAAAGCGCATATGGTGTTGGTCAAAAGATTTGCCAGAAACCACATGTATTTCGAACCTTTCGAAGAGTTGCCTTTCGCCATGTTTCGACAAACGATGTACTGACCTACCTGCGACCACATGGAAATTCCTTCAGATGAACAACCCGCTTTTGGTGATGTGTCAGGATGTGCATGTGAGTCCATCTTAGGGGGTCGATCTCGAGTCCGATCGGAGTCCGTCTGAGAAGTACCTTCAGCTTCCAAGGACCTTTAGGGGGTGAAGGCGCATGACCTTCGGACCTGAATGGGTGTTGTTTGGCATTTTAGAATGAATTACAAAACCATTAGCCAGCAGCAACTGGAGAAGTCACCCCCTACTTCTTGGAGTGAGCGCAACACCTTCCTTTCTTGTGCAAGCATACAGCGAAGTCAAAAAGGGTTTGGAATCCTTTGCTTGGAATGTCACCATACACTTGTCCATTCTCCCGAATCTTGAACCCTGCACAAGTTCTGTGCCTGGTCGCGGTGGTAAGTCGCAAGGACATGGGATTCCTCCGTTCCTTTCTCAATCTTCACCAGGTGCACTCCCAAGCTACTAGGATGCAAGTGCATCGCTAGTAGTAACAAGTGCCTCACTAGTAGTAACAATGTTTGCTATTAGAATTAAACTAAAATTTAAAATAAAATAATAGCTTCTTGTTACTAGTAGTAAGGCACTTGTTACTACTAGCGATGCACTTGTTACAGCGTCAACTTGGGCGTCGGTCCGACGCCACCGGATCCGGATGCCAGGCCACAATCACCAGTCCGATGGCCGCAGAGACTCGGAGTGCGGTAGCTTCTTGCTACTAGCAAGAATACTACTAGTAGCTCCTGGCATCGCTACTAGCGCTACTAGGAGCAAAAATTCTACTAGTAGCAATGCCCTTTACTAGTAGCGATGCCCTTGCTCCGTTTGTAGCTTCTTGCTACTAGTAGTATGGCCAGGAGCTACTAGTAGCGTCCTTGCTCCTAGTAGAATTGCCCTTTGCTACTAGTAGCTTCTTGCTACTAGAAGGGAGAAAAGAAGGTCTGCCTAAGACCTTTAGGAAAAGGTAGCGATGAGAATAGAAGAGTAGACATAGAACTCAACCTTTGGGCAGTTTGTCCACACTATGTGTTTCCAGTCTATTACACAATCTTAACTACTTGGGGAAGTGACCCAGATCTGAAGGGGTGGGAGAGTACCATGACTGTGTGTTTTGAATCTTCAAAATACAGCCGTTTGGGGTCAGATTTGGTGCAGAATCCACTCAAAGTTGGAGTCTTTCCATGAAACTTCCGAACTACTGAGATGCAACATCTCCTCGACGCCTAGAGAAATCCCACCTTGCGCTCCGGACACCTGCACCTTCGTCGACCCTTTTTTTTCCAGCGCAACGTTCCGAGGATCATGAGATGCCAAAGCTCCCGAAGTATCTCAACGTCACAAACCTCACCAAGTTCCGGAGCCTTGGACGACACCGGATGAGACCGGATGACACCGTCCACAAGTACTACTCACTTATTTGCTCCGTGGGCAGTTGGTTTTCTTTTCGTTTTTGTGGAGGAAGCCCAGATGATATGCTGGTACCGGCCGAATGGAATGGAATCTAACATGATGGTTGTGGCCTCTGTAAGAAGGGATGAGTATCAGTGACCGACCATCAGGCACGGTTTTGGAAACAGATTTGGACGGCTTTGCCGGGTGAGTCGGAAGAACATGGAGGGATGGATAGGCAAATGGATCTTTAGGGCTGATTGCCGAAGGATATGGGAGAAGTCACAACATCAAAGAGGAGGGAGACTCAGCAAAAGTCCCATGTCATGTGCGATCAGGTGATTTGTCACAGAATGATATGTCATGTCAAAGTGGGTGTGGATTGAGAAATCTAAGGCGCCCTCTTACTGAGTCTTTTCACCCAGGGCCTCTCGATCTGGTAGCAGTGCTTGACGTCCCTTTGTTGAACGGCAGAGCTTTGCACCATTGGCCGTTCGGGCTCGCGACCCCAGAGCTTTGCCCCACACACGCGCGGCGTTCGAGCGTTCGAGCTGGGTTCGTGATGCCCTGCACTAGCTGTGATGGCGAATGCGCATCCTTGGATGAATACAGAGTGTTGTGCTCGACAGGTTATAGGTTGTTTCCAGACTCTATTACTATAGACGGATGACTTTCCGCAACCGGTTGAAGGACCCCAAGTCAGACTCACTGGGTCTCAAAAAGACGCTGAGGTAGCTCTCAAGCAACCTAGGAAGCTGAACAGTTGTTGTGATGCAGCCTGCGTTTCCGAGGAAGCTGCCTTCCAGCACGGGAAACTTGCATGGTTGGTTGGCTGAGGAACCGGCCGAGTGTCCAAGGGTGGGTTTTTGGAGGTCTGTGCGAATATTTGTGCGAATAGGTCGGTTCAAACCGAGACTAGAATGTACGACATGAAATGGCGAATGAATTCCTCGACGTGATGGGAGAATGACTTTTACAATTCATAGAACAAGAAGAAGCTAGTAGGTTGGAGGCCATCGCTACTAGGGTGGAGGCCACGAGGGTGGAGGCCATCGCTACCACATTGGGGAGGCCATCGCTACCAGGGTGGAGGCCACCGCTACTATAGGGTGGAAGCCATGGCTCGCTACGGGCTGCAGCCCAAGAAATCATCTAGTATGGGCTTTTGCTATGGCAGGGCCATGTTAACAGGCACATTCTCTGGATATTCCATATACAGTTCGTCCAGAGTCTCGCTCCTGTGGTCGGTCTTGTTTTTGTTGACACAAAATTGTGGGCCAGATGTTCCACCGCAACATAAGCTACACAGTTGTTTCTTTTCCAGTTAGGCACCGAACTTGGATCGCTGACCAGATGCATATGCAGGACTACAGTCAGATCAACTGGCCCCTGCCCAAGATGTTCGGCAAGGAGAAATATGGCTATAGCCGCTTATCTGAGGAGAAGCGTGCCAAAGAAACTCGCCACCCTTGGTTGACTCACCAAAATTCCAAAGTCGATCCCACGAAGGATCCAATTCCTTCTTCTTCTTCTTCTTCTTCTTTTTGGTTCTTCTTCTTGGCCCCCAAGCCGCTTGCAGCTCGTATTTCCGGTGCTTCGGATTGACCTCGCGTTTGAGAGACGAGTCCCTGGAGTTTCAGGGTTGGGGCCTCCAGCCCGATGTTCCTATTTTCGACCTTTAGAACCACCTTAGTGCCTTACTAGTAGCAACAAGAAGCTATTAGGAACAAGTGCATCGCTACTAGTAACAAGAAGCTACTAGTAACAAGTGCCTTCATGATCTTCTTTGTAGTGCCATATGATATATTGTCATTTCGTCGAGGGTTTGGGAGAGACGTCGAACAGTTGACTGTGTTGACAGAGGGTACACACTCTGACATTTGTTTTCAGTTCACTCAATTGCCACGATGGGAAGGAAGGTGAGGGAACGGAAAGGTGCGTGGGTCCGATCACTTGAAAAAGTTAACATTGTTGTCACAAAGCGGCAGCAATCAGACCGGCGGCGCAGCTGCTGGGGACGAGTATGTTTGGGGGAGGTATTATGAACCACCATGCAAACAAACCGAGAGTGGAACAGCTTGATCAAAAGTTTGGCGCAGGTACGTCGGCAAGCGTCCTTGCCGATATCCTAGGATCATGTGAGGAGCTTCGTTGGATGGAGCCTCACATGTCCTCTCCATCCCCCTGCTTGTGTGGAAAGTGGGAGTGATTGGAAAACCCTTAGAAACAGGGTGTGACACACACAAAAAGCCGAACTCGGCGCGAATGCAGAGCAGTGGAGAAACGGACCTTTTTTCTGAGCTCTGGTGGATCTGCAGTGAGGAAAGGTGAGGTGATCTTATGGCATGAAATGCAATGCAGAGTGGTGTAAAACATGTGGAAGCTGATCAAATGGCTGCGGGTTAAAAAGTTGGGAAATGCAGTACACAACGTCATGACAATGCAAGACGGAATGAATCAGGTAATCACAAGGGAATCCATCGTTTACAGCCCGGCGGCTCGAAAATCCGTTAATCCAGTGATAGAAATGAACGACCAGGGTGACAGTTATAAATATGAAGGGCCAGTGAAATCCGGAATGGTTTCGGCGCCTCCTTTCGGAGGGTCACACCCAGCACCCAAGTGGGAAGACTGAGCGGCTCACACTCTGACATTTGTTTTCAGTTAACTCAATTGCCACGATGGGAAGGAAGGTGAGGGAACGGAAAGGTGCGTGGGTCCGATCACTTGAAACAGTTAACATTGTTGTCACAAAGCGGCAGCAATCAGACCGGCGGCGCAGCTGCTGGGGACGAGTATGTTTGGGGGAGGTATCATGAACCACCATGCAAACGAACCGAGAGTGGAACAGCTTGATCAAAGTTTGGCGCAGGTACGTCGGCAAGCGTCCTTGCCGATATCCTAGGATCATGTGAGGAGCTTCGTTGGATGGAGCCTCACATGTCCTCTCCATCCCCCTGCTTGTGTGGAAAGTGGGAGTGATTGGAAAACCCTTAGAAACAGGGTGTGACACACACACACACACACCCCAGTCCTCAGGTCCTTCCCAACGAGTAAGCAACATTGTTTCATGTGTTTTCTGCTTCAGATACCTGAGCCTCCTTCGGATTCCTTGGGATTCGCTGCGGGGTGAAGCAGCCCCCCTACGCGAGGTATGATCGACATCGATGATCCGCGCTACATCAAGGAGTCTGTCCGGCGTCGCCGCTGGAGTTGTTGCGGAACATGGATGCATCAGGGTCCTGGTTGTCCCTGGGCCCTTTGGAGAATCTGTCGCATCAGCTTTGTGCTTGACAATTTGCACCAAACCTGAAATAGGCAAGCAGACCTATGCGGGGACCGGATGATATCGCTAGAAGCGGAGTTCCTTCGGAACAGATGGAGCAAATTGCTTGCCGTCCTTGGCGTGCACGCGAGGAGTGCGCCCAGATGTCGCAGAAGTTGATCCGATTGCACTATGATCAGCAGATCATTGACTACACGTGCTTCGGAGGGATTGAGGGATTGGATTCCGTGGGACCGGCCGATCGTGCTTCAATAGGTGGGTCCAGAGTCTCATGAGATCAACCGAACTTGGGAGAATCACATGGCCTTCTCTTTCCTAGTCTGTTTGGAGGATGGGTTGGAAGATCCGCGCCGGTGTCCATTGGATTCGTTACGAAGACTGATCTTGTCCAGGTGATTCCGTGATTCACCACCGTCCGTTTCACGGATCTCGAAGTCAGCAAAGGGGCGGGGCCTTCAGAGCTGCAAGACCTTGCACTGCCCAACTCTCCATGCAACCACCACACTCCTTTGGCGGATACCACCCTCTTTGATCCTGTTTGTAGAAGAACATAGTAACATAGTCTTCCAAGCGAGCATCGGCTGCCACTTTCGATTGATGGGTTCGGATGCCAACAGCTGGACATCGGGGCGCCATTGGGCGACTGGGCCACGGGCCCTGTTGAAATGGGTGGTTTGATCGATGCCAATGGAGTTGATGGCTGAGGAGTTGTCTTCCAAAGGCAACACCGGATCTAGCAGGGGTGGTTCATGACACTCCAGAGAGTAATGAATAAGATGTATGTTTTGTCCTATTAGGTTGGAGGCCATCGCTAGTAGGTTGGAGGCCATCGCTCTTAGCTTGGAGGCCATCGCTTCAGTTTTTTAAACATATGATATCTCTGATGGGGCCTCTGACCTTTAAATTTACCCTGGTTTGAGCGTGAACCCTGACCGTGCTCCAATACCCAACTTTGCTTGAATCAAGAATCAATTGTACACTGTACACAATCTGTTAAACAACATTAAACTACCACTATTTATTCAACCGCTGCCACAAATAATCCCGCTTGCCGCACTTTCAATATCTTCTTTCCTTCATATAACAAACTTCTTGCTGGCATTGTGGCTCAGCACGTTTCGTGAGCTTTGTCCTTTTCTTCTTTTTCACCAGATAGCATGAGCTATTGGGGTTTTTACTTCAAGTATAGGAAGAGCTGCATGTGTGCGTTTTCGAACCTGGGTGCTGGTGCCGCTGCAGGGTGCCGCTGCTGTTCCAGTATAGGAAGAGATGTTTGCGTTTTGGAGCTTGCGTGCTGGTGCCGCTGCAGGGTGCCGCTGCAGGGTGTTTTTGGCCCTGTGCGCTTGGAAGCCCGGGCGCTGGCACCGCTGGAGGGCGCTGCATGGTACCCCTGCGCAGTGCGTGCTGCCCACAGAAACCTTGTTGCTATCTTGGGTCTATGCTGGCAAAATTCTTCTTCTTCTTCTCCTTCTTTTCCCTCAGCAAGCACCGCTTGAGCAAGACCTTTGAGAACTAGGGTTACTAAACACGCAGTAGGGTGGCTGGCAAACCAGGTTCAAAAGCCAGACGCTGCTTCAAATGACGAAGTTGGGTCGCCAAACTCCTCCTGCAAAACACCTCTTGGAGGGTCGGAGTTTGGCACCTTCGATGTTCTTTTTTCAGGTGGCGGAACACCTACAAGGGCTTGTTGACGGCGGAGCATCGCTTAGCCACCTTGCCACACAACAAGTGTCCTCAGAAGACCGAGGACATGATGAAGAAGGAGGCGTCGAAGTGAACCAGTTGCCGGGTGAGTGGATGGGTGACTGTGAGTTGCATGTGGCATATTTTGAGATCCATTGTTTGTTTGTTCTCCTTCCTTGGCCCTCCTCAAAGACCACATGATGGGTGTCTTGCAAGAAAACCCATGAGTCTGGTGTTTTTTTTGCAGGTAAGCATGGCTGAAACTAGCCGCGGATCCTTTGGTGTATGATCTTTTCGATTCGGCTTTAGCGATCAACACTGGACCAGATCAAAGGCCAATCCAGCCCTTTGTCCACGATTGAAGCCCCACAAGGGATTTTTTTGGTATCACTTTCCAAGAGCTTGAAGCAGGTGGACTCCTGCATGAAGCAGCTCTTGGAACTCCAGCAGCAGAAGGTGCGCTGTGCCGAGATCAACGCGGGCTTCGCGGGCTCCGCTCGGTGTTTTTCGAACGGAGTCATTCTCGGCAAGTCATCCGGGCTGGAGTGTCATTCCAAATGGGTCATTACAAAGCCCCGGATGCATAATTTGGAGAATTTGGGTGTGCGCTGCATACTGAAGTAGGAAAACAGGGTGACCTCTGGAAGAGGGAACCGCAGAGGGCGTCTACCCTTTGGGCTGCAGATGGCAAAGTCTCGCCTGGAGGCAGCACATCAGTGCCTACTGGTCACCCACTCAACAGGTGGAAGTGATGACCTCGAATAGCTAGATTTGGGTGGATGACAGCCACTCGTTTGCATCGTTTTTACGAGGACTTTATATCTCCAGAGATGCTGCAGTTGGGAACTGATAAGTATTATGATGATGATCAGGTTGCTTCAAAAGACCCTCTCACGGATCTCCACGTTCTGCTATCCAACCCCACCTGAGCAGGGGTGAGCTCACCACATGACTTTCTTTTTGCTCTCCGTTCTTCTTTTAGAATGGGGACGGTGGCAACACCGCTCGCTGGGTTTTCTTTCGATTCTTGGTGAGACCGTGAAAGTTCACATGGAGACCATGAACAATTGCAGCAACATCGAGTGATGCCCAACCACTGCTCCGAGCGGTTTCCTCGTGCGGAGCAGTGGTCACCCTCCACCAGGTCGCCCTTTTGTGGTTTCGCGGAGATTGACCATCTAACAACTGAGAGGCGACACAGTGACGCAGCCACGGCATGTCCAAAGTTGTCACTGGATTTTCGGGGGAGAGATAGGATGCGGCTAGCCAGGACATGTACGAGCAGCAGATCAAGGAGATCTATGAAAGATGTGATTCCATCAAGGCAACCATCAAGAAGGCGCCGGATTTCCGGGCTCCTGAGCTCTCCATAAGAAATGGTGGATTGGAATTCAGAATCCACTTTGGTGAATTCGCTCAAGTGATTGACTTGTTCCATAAGTTCAGTGTTCCAGGGATCCGCTAGTTCATACTGACTATAGTTGATGCGTAGGAGCAAGAAGCTACTAGAGGCTCCTGGCCTTACTATAGGTGCAAGGACGCTACGAACGGGGCTCCTGGCATCGCTACTAGCTGCATTCTTACTACTACGGTAGTAACAAGAAGCTGCTAGTAATGGACCGTGGCCCGGACCACGATGGTGGCATTGTTTTGCCTGGCAGCAGAGCTTCGCTGCGGCGATCCTGCTTGGGCAATGCTCCGATCCTGCTTGGGAACATGGTGGACTCGGTTCCAAGCAGTTTCGGTCGGAGAAAGCATGGCGGACGCCACGCACACAGCGCCGGGCCGCAGGACGCAAACATGACAGGGACTTCGAAAGGAAAGCCACGCGGGTCCGGCAACGGGCTCACAGGTGGCGTGAGTCTGGTGGCCCTGGTGTCTGAAGCTCTCCCACCGCCCGCTGAAGTGGGATCCGCAGCACAACTGAAAAAACCGGTGCCGAATTTGGACGCCGGGTGGCGACCACACTCGGTGGCGACCAAACGCGTGAGTGAGTTGCTGGTCTTGCGGCTTGTTCGCCGTTTTGAGCCAGAAAGAGTGGCGGCACATGGAAGAACAGCTGGAATCAGATTCATCCTGGTGACTTGAGATTGCTGCTTGGATTTTGTTCATCGAGTGCAACGACACGTAGTGTCGACAACTCCACCTGCACGCTGAGGGAGCCTCTCTGCTGAAGTTGTCCTAGACCCCGGTCCACGGACTTGGCCTCCACAGATATGATGGAAAACTTCCACGGACTTGGCCTCCACGGACTTGGCCTCCACGGACTTGGCATATACTTAGTCTTGAAATGGAAGTTTTCCATATCTGACGACAGCGGTTGAGTCGTGAAAGTCACGTCGCAGGAGAATGATTTGGAAGACCTCCGGAAGACGATGGAGAAGCAGACGAAGGACAACGAAGAGCACCAGTTTTTGGTTCTTTTTGATGTGGTTTGAACAGGTTGTTTTTGTTGTTCAACCATGTTCAACGTTCATCCGTGCCAATCTTACAATGACCCGCTTTTCTCGGGTGGGTTGAAGTCACCAGCAGCCGTGGCTATGTTTATTTCATTTTTCCGGCATCATCTCCGTGGCAACCAGGGATGTATGCACGATCGCCGAAAGGATCGATCAAGTTTAGCGATATTCTGGAGGATCATTATACTCCACAGATGCAATTGTGTTGGGATAGCAAAAGAAGCCATCCAACATATTCCAACATACAGTATATGGTTTTCTGTTGCCAGACATATGGCGGCCCAAACTCCGACCCACCCGCCATCTCCAATGGCGTTATGCAGGAGAAGATCTCCATCGACTCGCCATTTTGGAAGGCTAAGTTCAACATCCGCTCGGTGAATGCGCCTCCCAGGCCCTACACACACGAGAAGACGAGAAGGATCGGACGATTTGGCAGTTCTTTTGCAGATTTTCACTCCGCCCCTTAATAAACAAGAAGCTAGTAGTAACAAGTGCCACGCTAGTAGTAACAGGTGCCTTACTTGTAGTGAACTTGGAGGCGGCAAAAATGGCACCACTCGTGGCGTGGGATGGACGACACCACGAGTCGCTTCACTTCGAGTCGTTGGAGCTCGAGCGGCTTTGCTTCGAGCTCCATGCAGTAAGAAGAAGCTATAAGAAACAATAAGAAGCAGTTCCTAGTAGCTTCTTGTTACTACTAGTAAGGCACTTGTTACTAGTAGCGATGCACTTGTTCCTAGTAGCTTCTTGTTACTACGAGCTCTGGCTCTGCTTGCAAGAAGCTTGAACTCTTCAGGAGACACACTTCCGGGGCTTTGTGCTGCTGACCCTGACCATTTTGGAAGCAAGCAACACCTCTTTATTTTTGACACGGATCCAGTGGTGAACTGACCAGAACTGACAACAGAACACCACCCTGGAATTTGAACAAACAAAATCATTTGCAAAGCGTCTGGTTAAAATATACATCTTGCAAACGGGCATCTCCAAAAGCCAACGGCGTGGCGGTGGAATCCTTTGTGGATGGGGTTCACTGTCGTTGAGATCCGACATGGAACATGGCCTAACTTGGACTCCTCACCTAACCATTTCCATGTGAGTTGTACACAGGAAGTCTGCAGCAAACACAGTGTGGGATTTACATGAATGGTGAACAGGTGCACATGTTTTGGTGCACGAGGATGCTGGTCAAAGCGAGCTCTTCATGTTCCTCAACAGTTCATGAAGACGCCGATCCCAAGGCTTTGGTGGCGTGCAATGGTTCACCAGAATAACATCCACCAGCTTCTGTCTCAATCATATTCCACCCCCAATTCCGGTGGTTTGTGGTTGAATGTGATTGAGGGTCTCGGGTCGACTTTCTTTCCTCCCCGACTTTCCAATGACGTCCTTTCCGCGACTCGACTCGCGACTCGGGTCATGCGACAGGTCCGGATCCCTGAGCTTCGACTGAGGCGCTCGGGACCTTCGAGAGGGTCGGGTCGGCCGTTCGTCCGTCCGCCCGGTGGGGCGGGGCTCCGAACGGGGCGGCAGACACGTGAACGGGATCCGAAAGGCAGATGGATCGACCACTGGATCGACCAGAACATACCAGAACCATTCATCCTTATCCATCCGGATGAGTCCTTATCCAGAACCGTGTGGCAAATTTCCAACCGGATTCGTGGCCTGCTTCCTCATGGTTCTGGGGGAATGATTTTGAGACCCAGGTTCAATTGAATGGGCAGTTACCAGGTTTTATGTCGTTTTTTAACTCTTAGATCTTAGGAGCTTTGGCAATCAGAGTCAGGAATTCCGCAAGTTCAGATCGCTTCCTTAAACTGGGACGACCATGACAGCCGCCCGGGACGAACAACCGTTCGCCGTTCGCCAGATTCGCACTGAGCGGCTGAAGAAACGTTTCACACCAATCTCATGGTTGACGCGTTGATCGCAGGCGGTCTTTCGAAGCTGGTCTCCGAAAAGGGGGCGTGGCTTGTTGGCCAAACGGTGCTAAATGGAAAGCACTGACATATCATATCTGTGGTTCCAAGTCAGAACAGAACAGTCCGCAGATCGTCGGAGAACCCTCTCAAAGACCCAGCCAAATCAATGTAATTTTACACACAAATCCGTGTTTGGATCCTATTTAGAGCAAGAGCAAGAAAGTGATGTTCCAATAGCACAAGTTCATTGGGTTTAAGTCAAGACCAACCGCACCAAAACCAGTGTTCTGTTCATTGTTGGAATGTTCACGGAGACCTCGTGGGCTTTAACCTTAAAGAAGGAGTCTTTGGTAGGATTGACTAGCTTGCAAACCGTCATGGTTTTGCGTCCACAGCGACCCGAAGGCACGTGAAGATGGGTGCTTGCCGCGACTACACGGGTTTGGAGAGGATGCCTTCTTGTATGGCATGTCATGTAAGTGGCCAGTTTTGTGTTCTTTTGAATTGCTGAGCAGGTGAATCTTGATACCCTTTGTGAACCATCAATATAAATATATGTAATGGTGTCACAATTCCAAACCCCGCTGATGGATCTGTTCTGAAAGATCATTCCCTCTTGAAGCCCACAGCCCCACACGACAGCTTGGAAGGCCCAAAAGGGGAAGACTGAAAACGACAATTCTGAAGCCCCCTAAGGCGAGTTGAGCCCCCAATCCTGCATGGTGGGTTGAAGTCCAGCTCCAGTCCATTTGGGTACGGCTCGGATAAGATTTGGCGTGGTTTTGTCTCGAAGAGGTATTTCTTTTGGAGAAGTTTCCATTTAGCAACTCCACAGACCATCTGAGCATTTTTTTACGTCGCGGCGACCTACCCCATCTCTGCCTGAGCGGCCAAGTAGCATGTCTCACACCAGGATCACCCAAAGCATGGCACATCAAGATGTGACACATCAATGCAGTACAAAGAGAGAAGCACCTCTCGCAAGCGCACACCGGAAGGCACATGTCCGTAGGTGGAAGACCACCTGGAGCCTGGAGCTCACGACTTCCCAGGTAGACCATTCAGAGTCTCCCAGTTTTGACCCATGGCCAGATCAGTTTCAACTTTTTACGGCCGGTTGTCGGAGTGGTGTCTTGAATTGAAAAGGCCTGCGAGGCCCGCTGCTTTCACCCTTTTGCACTGGTTGCGCATAGTCTGTCTTGAAAAGTCGATATTATTTGCGAATAGGGACGATCGTACCATTTACGGGACGGAAACGAAGCCCTGGAACGGTGTTTGGACATCAACTCGTTTCACCTTCCGACTTCCTCCTTTCTATTTTGATGGACCCCTTCGGTGCGGCGAGAAGTATTCCCACAATGAATCAGGTGAGTAGGTAAAAATCGATCCAATGCGTGGTCGGCTTGGTGATCCAATCGACAATTCGTCTGGTCGGCTTGAAGCCACAGTCTCGTATCACTTGAAGGCCCGGCTGGGCGTGAGCCGTGCACTTCCTTTTGGGAAGGGCACGAGCCGGGGACCAGCACCTCTTCAATCGCAAAAGGATGGAGACACGGGAGTGGCCACGCACAGGAGTGAGACACGTTCGGAGAGTTGATCCGGATGCGCTTGATAGATCCCTGCATGTGTTTTGCCTTGGTTGGGAGTTGGACTTGTTACAGGGTTTGGTCAACCGAGCAGACGGTCGCACTAGCGATGGCATGGCTATTATTTTGTGTCTTCATATTCGAAGGATGTTTCTTTTGATTTCGGCCATATTCACCCTTCCACCAGGATAAGAACCGCTCATAGTGTTCAGATTAACCTTCACTACCCACTCGAACTTTTGGGGTTAGAAGTGGGGGGGAATGAGAGTAAAGGACATCACTGGTAATTCGATGGAACATAGGGAGCACGACATCGATGTCACCAATGAACGACCTGGTCACGACCGATTCGGATCGACCGAAAGTGGCCCGGTCACGACCCGGTGTCACCCAGCGATCGGCCCGACGACCTGGACGGAGAGCGTCTGAGGTTTTTGGTGGCCGCTGTGGCCGGAATGCTCTTTGGAGGGCTCGGACTCCCGATGCGGGAGACAAGAAGCTACTATAGTAACAAGTGCATCGCTACTAGTAACAAGTG